ACTACGAGGAACTGTGTTCTTGATGGGTATACGGCAGGTTGCGTCTCCCACTGCCGCACTCGCGGCGGCATCAACGGACAGGCTGCGCGGGCGGAGTTATCGTCGACACTTCCACATCTCAAGACCGGCACGGCCAGCATCGAGCGAACGCGCCATGAGAACTTGATTCAGAGCGAATCTGGAAAACATTCTGGGGGCATCGATTTGCCATCCACGTGCGGTTTCTCAGCGTTCAGGCAACAGGCCAAAATGCAGAAGTCGGTGCTCCGAGGGCCTCCAGCGATCAGCGCCGAGGCGCGCAAGATGGAGGCCAGGCGCATTGAGTGTAGCGGCACGCAGTGTTCCATCAAGCCGCGGGTGCGGAGGGCGTTGGTGCACGTGGAGGCAGGGGGGCACCTCGTCGACGCAGCCCTGGGGGCCGAGCTGTCGGCCAAGTACCGCGACTTGACCCCCGATCAGAGGGGGCCTTACGAGGACTTGGCAGCTGTAGCGTTGCAGGAGTACAAGAGTGGTCGGCATGCTTTCGGTGAGAAATTGCGACCGAGTTCGACGAAGCCACTGGCGGGCGCCAGCATGAAAGTACTTGAGGTTACCAGAGACACGGCTGGCGGCCAGCGCCCACCCAACCAAGTGCAAGGAGTCGTTTCGGCAGGGAGCAATCAGATCTTCCAACGCGCAGTGCTCAAGGCGAAGGAACACAAGAGATTGTGCGCAATTTGCTCCAATGCCGACAACTCCGCGGGGGCAGACCTCCGCGCTCGGTCCGATGCAGAGGCCGACCGACACGCCAAGGATTGGTTTTTCATTGGTAGCAGTGCGTCTGCCAACCAGCGCTGCGCCGACTTCGCTGTCCAGCGCACCATGGTGCCGACGGGGGTGTGCGCGAGGAAGCCTGAGGCGCGCGTTTCCAGGCTCGGGGCACGAGGTTTCGGGCCTGGGGCCCGGGGCTCTTCTGGCTCAGGGCACCAGTCCTAGGGCGGTAGGCTTCGGGCTCGCAGCGCCAGGCCCAGGGCTTGAGGGGTTGCGGCTCAGAGGCCGCCGCCCCGGGCTCGTGGCGCAGTGCTTTGAGCGCGGGGCTCGCGGCATAAGTTGCGGCATTCGGCAGATAGGTTTGGGCTTATCCTTGACCCCGCGCGCCTTCAGTATCTGACCCAGCGCGCGCGGCTCGAAGCTCAGGGCTTGCGGGGCCTGCGCGCCCGCGCCCGTTTCGCTCATTCGCTCGCCCGTGCGTTCTTACTTCGCTCGCGCTCGTGGCGCGCGCGCCAGCCCGCTCGGCCGCCGACGCGCGCCCGCGCGCGCGCGCCGCCCCGCGCGCCTCGGGCGATGGCGCCGGGCGACGTGCCCAACGCCATGGGCGCGAGGGCGCGCTGTTGCGCCTGCGGGGCAAGTGTCCGCTGCACCTCGGCTGGGCGCGCAGTCGCCCCACGCGCTCGGGGCGCGCGGGCAGGGCCGACGCCGCCGTGCGCGCTTCCGGTGCCCGCCCTGGCAGTCGCATATAGGTGGCCGCATCGACTCCGCGCGGCGCGCCGCGGATCCGCGCGGCTCGCCAGCCCATCGAAAGCTGAGTGCCGACATCCCGGGCGCTTGCTCATTCCAGGACCCCACCGGAACCCCATCGAAAGGTCATCAACAAGCCATCATAACGCCATCAAAATGTCATCCTACCATGGATGGTTTACGGGCGGCTTATCAACACGTCATCATAACGCAATCAAAACGCAATCGAAACGCCATCGAAAAGGCACCCGTAGTGCTTTGCCTTGGAGGCAGGGGCGTACTTGCGCGCCTCGGTTGGCAGGTATTTCGAACCGCTTGCTCCGCAGGAGCAAGCGCAGTGTACTGTGAAAATGTACTATGCCGCGTGTAGCTATCGCGCTTGCAGCGCAGGCACCGCCAACCCATCGAAACGTCACCAGAATCGATCATACCCAATCAAGACGTCACCAGGAACCCATCGTCACTCGGAGCGCGCGACCAAAACGTCACCATAAGGTCATCGAAACGCCATCAACACCCCGTCGAAAGGCCATCAAGGAGCCATGCGTCCTGGTACACGAAAGGCTTCGGGCGACCAAAACCCGATGGCGGTTTCAGAGTGCACGGCGCAGATCGGTGTTCGGACTTTCGCAATCTACCCCCCCCCTCCCCCTTGCCGCTTACAGCGCCACCCGATGGCTGAATTTTCGCAATCTACCCCCCCCACGCCCCTCGGCCCTTCGCTGGCCCGCCCACTCGGCTGCGGCTCCGTCGGCGCCCTGCCAAGGACCGCGCCGCGTGGACCCCGTGCGGCGACGCGCGTGGAAGCATGCAGCGGGCGGCCGCCCCTCTCGCCGCGCGGTCGCGCGCGCGCCGTGCGAACCCGCCCGCCAAGCCGCCTCGACGTCGAGGCGCCCCCGCCCATCCAGGCGCCGCGCTGGCGCGGGAGGCCCTCGACCCCCGCGTCGCGGGGGCCCACGGCGCGCGCGCCAGCGCCGCTCGACGCGGCCCCCCGGGCAATGGCAGCGAGCCGCGCGCGCGCGCGCGCTGCGACTTCCCAGCGCGCCGCCGATCGGGTCGGCCCCATGCGGGCATGCGCGTTCGGGGCTGCCGTCGCTGGGCGATCTGCATGGGCGGGCGCGGGGCGGGGCTGCCCGCCGCGCCCGCGGGCGGGGCGATGCTGGCCCCTGCAGCGTCGCGCCCGCGGCCGGCGGTCGGGCGGCGGAAGCTCGCGGACGCATCCAGCCCTCAGCCGAGCGCGCGAGCGCTGGATCTGCGAGCTCGCGCGCACGGCGCGGGCATATGAGCCGCACGCTGCGCGCGACGCCCTCCGTCGCAGAGCCGCCGCCGCTGCGGCGCGTCCGACGCGACGTGCCTGAGAAGAGGTTCATCGGCTTTAACTGGGGTTGTTCTTGCGGGGTGCGCCAGCGGAAGCGGCTGTTGCCGCTGCCATTCTGTTGGAAGATAGCTGCGCAAGGGGGGCGGCTGTCGGCTCGGCCTGGCAAGCCGCGCGGGCGAGCATGGCGGTGGGCCCCCCAGTCAAGAATCCTCGCTGGGGCAAGTCTGGCGGGGCCCGCCCCGCCAGGCAGCCGCTGGGCGGACCCGGGCCGCGCAATCGGCGCCGCGATCATCGGATAGCGCGCGGCGGCGCTTGTTTGAGAGCGCCCCGAGAACCCATGCCCGCCGCAGCAACGCTGGCGCGGCGCCCCCCGAGCAACGGAGCTCGGGGGCCAACGTGGTTGGCGGGCGCTCAGGTTCGGCGCCCGCGCCCTGCTGAAGTATTCGTTCCATTCCAAAATCAGATAGGTCCCTCCAGTAAATAAGTCACCCCCAACAAGTAGATAGGTCCATCCCCAATTAGATAGGACCCCCCCCCCCCAGCAGCGAAAGGGCCGCCCCCCCCCCCCCAGAACAACATTTAGACAGGTCCTTGCCAAAGGTAGATGGGACACTCCCAGGAAATAGCTCGGCCCTCACAGATAGGCCGCGATCCACAGCAGACAGGTAAGTCACAAGAGTAGGTCGGTCCATCCCAAAAGAGAGCAGGTCCCTCCCAGAAGGAGAGAGGGCCCTCCCAGCAAATAGAGGTCAATCCAACAAATATATGGGCCCCTCCCAACAGCCAATCGGGCCCCCTAACAAGTGTAGAGGTCCCTCCCCAAAACTAAATGGGCCCCTCCCAACAATAGATAAATCCATTCCAGAAGTAGATCGGTCCCTCCCGCTAGTATTCCCAGAGGTGGATTGGAACCTCCCATCAAGTAGATAGGTCCGTCCCAAAAGTAGACCAAAGTAGATGGTGCATTCCAAACGAGTAAGTGCGTCCCTCCCAGGAGTAGGTAGGACCCCTTCTGGAGGTGGATCCTCCCAAGCAAGTAGATAGGCCCCGCCCAAAAGTTGACAGGACCCTCCCGACAAGTAGATAGGCCCCTCCCGAAAGTATGTAGGTCCCTCCCAAGATTAGATAGGACCCCTTCCGGCAAGTAGACCGGCCCCTTCCGAAAAGTAGATAGGTCCATCCCAACCATAGAATGGACCCTCCCAACAATAAGTAGCTAGGACCTTCCCACAAGCAGATCGGACCCTCCCCACAAGCGGATAGGACTCTCCCACAAATAGATACGCCCCCCACATCAAGTAGATAGGGCTATCCTAAACAAGTGTATAAGATCATCCCCAAAGCAGGCATGACCTTGCCATAAGTAGCTAGGACCCTGCCGAAATTAGAAAGGCCCCCCCCCAACAAGTAGATCGGACCCTCCCAACAAGTAGGTAGGACCCTCCCAACAAGTAGATAGGACCCCCCAACAAGTAGATATGCCCATTCCAGAAAAAGTACGACTCCACTGGCAGGCAGGAAAGGACCCGCCCAACACGTCGATTGGACCCTCCCGAACGTAGACAGGAGCATCGCAGATGTAGATAGGACCCTCCGAACAAGTAGATTCCATGACCATCCCAATGGTAGGTGGGACCCTCTCATAAGTAGACAGGTTTTCCGACAGGGTCCTCCCATCGGATTTTTTCATAAGGCCCCCCCATAGGGCCCCCGTGGGCCCATGAGGTAGAGGCTTCGCCCATGGGCCAACGCTGTCTCGAAAGTGGTGCCGTCCGTTGCCTCGCGGTGGTGTGCGGTGCTGCGCGTGGCGCGTCATCTCCGTTTGTGACGGTGCGGTGCGGTGCCGTGTCGGATCTGTGCCGCGCAGTGTCGGCGCGGTGGAGTGCGGTGTCTTGTTGGGCCGAGGCCCCATGGCAGTGCCATCGTATCGTTGTCTTCAGTTATACGGCTTCCTACACGATATTATTTGTCGTTCCATGGCTGTTTGGCTCCGATCATTTCGGGGCTTGTGATTTCCGCGTCGAAGCCGCGGCTCGGCCTCCCGAGTCCTCTACGCTGCCGGAGCGCCGGAGGGATGGGCGGCAAGCGCGCCGCCCCAAAGGCCGACGGCGGCGGCGGCAGCCAGCCTGCTGGCGGTCGCTGCGGCGGCCGCGGTGGCGGCGGCGGCCGTGGCGCTGCCAAGAAGCACAAGAAGGCCGCCGCCGAGACGACGATGGAGTCCATGGTCGCGGGGCCGTTGATGATCAGGACCAAGAGCGTCAACCTCACGGGCCCAGCTGGTTCCTGCGGCCGCTGTGGCGTCAAGGAGAGCCCCGAGCATCCGCTCCCCGACGTCGAGTTCCCCAGTGAGGAGATCAAGAAGTTCCCCTTCGGCTGCGCCTTCCACGTCCGTGGCTTTGTGAACGGGAAGTTCTGGATTGATTACACTTGGCCTACTCTTTGCGGGGCTCGCGAGACTGACCGCGAGTTGGCCGGTACCTTCGAGGCGTGCTGCGAGGCCGCCGACGGCGCGCGTTTCTCGGGCACGTTGCCGCAGGACGTCTCGATGGGCACGCAGACTGGCATCACATGGAAATGGGACTGCATCCTCATCACAGACTCCCAATACCAGACCCACACCGCCCCTCCAGGGGCGCAGAGCCTAACGCCGCAGCAGGCAGGGGAACGTTCCACAGAAGTCCAGAACGAGCACAAGGGTGATGCGGTCACGGGGACGCTGGCCCTGGATCCGACGTCGCCTTATCTCAAGGTCCGCAGGTTCACCGCCACCGTGACCGCCCGCAGCGAGAAGGTTACGTCGGCCGACGATTGCTGCCGCGAGGGCGCGGCTTCATCATTAGAGGAGGCCGCCAACAAGCTCACGCGCGATCAGATGCCCACTTCCTCGAGGGGGCATGTTGGGATCCCGACGGCGGCCGAGCTCGAGGCCAAGGCCTCGGGCGCGGCGCGGGGCCTCGGGCTGCTTGCCGAACGCACCGCGGGGCACCAGTCGGGGCAGTTGGCCATCGCCGACCGCCGAGTCGACGACAGCGGCGGCAGCGCCACGCCCCCTCCAGGCCACGGCGGCGCGTCGCAAGGTCCAGCGTCGCTTGGGCCAAGCCCCGCCACCCTCCATGATGCCAGCGTCGGGTTCGCCAATGCAACCGCTACAGCAGTGCCTGCTTCGAGTGGAGCCAGCGTTGCCCGCGACTGCATGGGCGGTGGCGCGAGGCCGCTGCCGTCGAACGTCAGCGACCGCAGCCAGGCGGCGGCCTCATCGCTGCGCACAGGGACGCCGCTGTTCGCCAAGAAGCTGGCTGCGGGTTGCGACTCCTCGGAGAAGGCGAGGCTGAAGGAGCTCAAGGATGCGATCTCCTTGGGGCGCATCCTCACGATGGGTGGGGACCATGGCATCGGTGATAAGATCTACGCGCTGCGGCGCTGGAGGCCTGATAGCGGCGTCTCGGACGGTGAGGCGAACAACTACCTCAGCGACATCGACTGGTGCGTGGCTCTGGGCGGGGCGGCCGTCGAAGTTATGGGGCAAGAGATCCGCCTTCAGCTGCTCGGGAACATCGAGCGCGTTGACCTCTCGGACGCGGCCCCCTTCAAGCTGCAGGTCTGCGCAGCCGCGGCCAGAGAGATGTTCGACACTGTAGGCAGGGTCGAGATCTGCATTCCTTGGAAGATGTTCGCGATGGGCGGGGCCTCAGCGTTAACGCCAACAACTGCATTCCCCAACCTCCTTCACCTCCTCGCCCCCTCCCCCTCCCCCCCCCCTCCCTTCGCCCCCCCATTGATGTCCTGATGCGCCCCCCTCTCTGATGTTGTCGGCGCCGGCGCTGGCGCCTCTGAAGGGTGAGTTTTCGATGGCGCAGCCCGTGTTCTCGGCTGCCAGGGTTCCAGTAGCAGAGCTTGTCGATGCGGGCAGGACATTCTTCATCCACAATTTGGTCTTGCCGTGCACCAATCAGGATAAGCTCCACAGCGCATGGATGCTTGATCTGATCGAGCACATCCTTCCTCGCGTCAGGTCCGAGTCGGTTCGCGAGGAGGCTGGCATATGCAAAGGCTTAGAAAAGGAGATCTACGTGTACGCCGAGTCCCGCCGCACCCCTTTGGGCCCCTCGCCCACAGCGCCGGTGGAGCGCGATGCCAGGTCTGAGATTTGAAGTTCCTGCGCGAAGAAGCAGGGCCGGAGTGGCGCGTGGTCGTGACAACCTTTGGCTCGGAGTGGAAGGCGTGCCTGGAGGAGTGCAACCGTTCCAGCCGCACTGACGTGAAGTACCGCGAAAAGGTCGCCCCCGTTGAATCGATGCTCGGGGTCGCCAACAAGACTCTGGCCATTCAGGAGATTCATTCAGCCACCGAGAACCTGAAGGAGCGGGGCCCTTGGTTACGCCTGGGTGCTGCGAAACGCCTCATGGTCCAGTTCCGCAGTAAGTTGGAGGACTTCGTCGAGCACTCTTCGCGCAAGGTGGACATCGCCGACGAGGAGGTACCATATACCGAGTTAGCGACGAAGTTGAACTTGGACTTCCTCGACCTCCTGAGCCTCATCCCGACGCTGCGTGACATCAATGAGAGCGCGACCCAAGCATTCATCAATATCTAAAGCGCCATGGAGAAGTTCCAGGAGCAGGTGTGCATGAAAGGCAAGAGCGACAAACTTATGAAGGCTTGCTCCACCTACGATCCCAAGGGCGATGAGACAGCGCAGCATGTGACAATCGCTTTGACGGGGTCTGAGGGCGCACGCGTCGGGTCGGGCGAGGTCGTCGCCAAGCTCATCGGATGTGCTCGGACTTGCTTCGGTCACGCGGTGCAGATGGGCCTCGACGTAGCCGCAGCCTCCGGCGCGCGCTGGACCGAGAGCGCCGACCAGATGAAGAAGGCGCAGGCAGCGGCCGCTGGCGCGCTCAATCGACCCCAGGAGTTCGACGCTCAGGCGCGAGAGCTCCACGGGCTGGTGGTCACCAAGACGACGCTGCTCCAGGTGGTGATTTTCATCGGGGCCGTCGCCGCCCACGCGCCGTTCGGCAACTTGCAGCGCGTGGACGCGGCCAATGGTGCGCAGGATGACCGTGGGAGAGACAACCGTCACGGCATCATATGCCCCTTGGGTTCGGGGCCTGGGGGGCGGGGGCGCGAGTGGACGAGGGGAGTTGGGTGGGCTACTGGATGGAGGGGTGGGGGGCCTGGGGGGCCCTGGAAGGTTGATGGGGACATGTGGTGGGATGGCGGGCGGCGTTCGATGTTACGACGGTTGTCCCACCTTTAAGGATTGGCGCGTGCTCCGCTCGCATCTCGCCAAGTTCCTCGAGAAATCCGCCGAGCGGCCCGAGGATGCCGAGGGCGCGGCTGGCGGGGGGGGGGGGCTCGACCGCGCAGGCGTCGGATGGCACGGGCGGCGGCGGCGACAAGGTTACGATCGAGGCTAGGGTGCTGGTCGACTTCGAGGCGCTCGGTGCCCTCGCCACCGCGGCGATCAAGAATGCCCGCGACCTTCTCAAATATTTCTCGGCGGGGCACTGGGAGTTGGCGGCGAACCCCGCGGAGTGCGCGGTGAAGGGGCTGCACTCCATCAGCGGCGGCATCTTGAAAAGGTGACGACAGGCACTGGTCGGACGGCGCCCCCAACATGGGGAACCGGGAGCAGGTCTTGGATGTGGCCAAGGCCACGCTCTTCAAGCAAAAGGGATTCAACACCAAGGCGCGGGCGCTGCAGGACGACATGCTCAAGCAAGCAGCTCGGCGAGCTGAAGACGGCGGCCGACGAGCGCGGCAAGATGGGCGAGTTCAAGGCCCTCGAGGCGTCGGCGCTGAAGACCCTGGGCCGCGCGCAGGCCGCGTTGTTCGAGGCGCGCTTCGCCCAGTTCGTCAAGGGCGCGGGCTCAGCGAAGGGCCGCGAGGAGGGCCCCCTGGCGTTCAGGGATGAGCTGCACGACGCAAAGCACTACAAGGAGAAGGACGTCCACCCAGTGATCGTGGCCGTGCTGGAGCAGATGCTCACGGATGCCGTCAACGACGCGTCGTAGATGATGCCGAAGTTTGCGCCGCTGACGGCTCCGAGATCAGCTCGGGTTTTTTTGGGGTTGTCGACCCCAGAGCAGCTAGGAGACGCCTTTATCAGGTGGCCTCGCTTGCCGCCGCTGCTTTCAAGCAGCTCGGCGCCGCGCGTGGAGATGATAGAATTGAGGAGGAAGGGGGGGTGGAGGAGGGGTAGAGGAGCGTGGCATGAGGAAGGGTGAGGACTGAGGAGGAGGAGGATGAGGCCTCTTGAGGGTTACCACCCACGGCAGCAACACGAATGGCGGCGGCACGCCTCGTGGGAAGCATTCTGCAATACGTGGAGCAGGCGAGAGCGCCGTGTTTCTCGAGGCCGAGGTGGACAACCGATCTCAGCATGCCCTCATTGTCTTCCAGCTTTCCTTCCTCATCCTCCTCGGTCCTTCCACACCCCTTCCAACTTCCCCGTTGACAAGTACACAATGTGAATACTACTCTCCTCCATCCCTTGATGGCGCGCGGAAGAGAGCGGGCACCCCTCCGCGCACTTTTCTTTTACACGCGTGATTTCCGGGGGGTATGTTTTCGTTTTTTTCCCTTCCAGCTTTTCTTTTACAGAATGATTCACTGGGGCGCGGGCATCATTTTCGGGCTTCCGCTCGTTCCGAATCGCGCTCCCGCTGCAGCGCTGGCTTCATTTCCGTGCTTCCGCTCGTTCCGAATCGCGTTCCCGCTGCAGCGTTGGCTTCATGTCCGCGCTTCCGCTCGTTCCGAATCGTGCCCCCGCTGCAGCGCTGGCGCCATTGCCCGTGCCATGCCACGGCATGCAATGCAATGCTAGATTACGTTCCGCTGCGCGATGCCATGCCTTCAGTCGAAGCGGTCATGTCCAGTGCGTAAGTCCCGCGTCATGCTCTGCCATGCTACGCTTTGAGCTTCAACGCCGTACTATGCAATGGTATGTTCGGAGCCGCTGTGCGACGCCATGCTTTGCGTTGCAAAGCTTGGCGATGCAATTCTTCACTGCGCCACGCCGCGCCATGCTGTGACATGCTACGCTTTGCTGTGCTTTTCTGCGCCATGCCACGCCGTGCTCTACAATGCACCGCGTACCCTTAAGGGGTGTGCGTGTGGGGGGGGGGGGGGGGGGGGGGGGGAGGGGTAGGATGTCATATATGACGCGAGCGCACCTAGCTTGTCTCCCTCCCCCTCCCCTCTCCTTCCTCTTCCCTCTCCCCCCCGTTATCCTGCCTTCCTTCCCTTCTTCCCTTCCCCCCCCCCCCCCCCCCCCCCCCCCCCCCCCACAGACCCCGCGGTGTAGGAGGCGTTCGGCCCGCGCCCGCCTGCCGCCGCGATCCGCGCGAGGGGCGCGCCATGCTTGTTGGCGCCTCAGGGGCTCCAGGGTGTCAGGGCCAATGGCCCCCCAGAGCATCGTGGCCCCCCTTTGGGCCCAGCAGGGCGCCCTGGGCTCCAAGGCGCACGCCATGGCTCAGGCCCTAAGGCTTTCGCCCCCTTCCGCCAGGGGCCCCAATGGGGCCCAGGGATGCCCCAGTCGTGCCTCAGATGCGCCCCGACCGCGCGCGCCCCCCCCCCCCCCCCCCCCCCCCCATGCTTGGACATCGCACCAGGGGTGCATGACAAGCTGGGCATGTGGCACAGGCATTCGGCGTTTTTGGGGGACCACACTTAGCCCTCCCTTGGCTTATCGTGCCTTTTTCGGGCTCTAGTTGGGGCCTTTATTGAGGTCCGAGGGTTCACCGAATAGTGCCCCGAATGGGCGCCCGCGGTAGCCTTCGGGAGGGCCTCCAACTGAACAGTTGCAACTGGCATGGTCACTTGGGGCACCTGCGGGCATCCCTCGGGGCCGCCCCGCAACGCCTCCTGCCCGAGGCCCGACAAAGGCGCCGATGTGCCACGCGACAGGCGCCGCTGGGCCACAACTTACTCGCGCTGGGCCCCCGCGAGGTTCTTAGAAGTCCCGAGGCTCGATGGGGCTCAGAACGAAGCTTCCCAGCGGTGGCATCAGCGCGGCCCCCTTGGATGCAACCGCAGAAGATGAGCGACCCGCGCCCCGCGGACTCGGGGGGGGGGGGGGGGGGGGGGGCGGGTGGCGCGTGGGGGAGGGGGAGGGGGGGGGCAGCTGACAGCCTTGCTGAGCCAAACGGCTCGGCAAGGCGGTCGGGTGGGATCGGCCTCGCCCCGACCAGACCTCCCTTTCAAATCTCAGGCCTTCAGCCCGCCAAGCTCCACCCGTGCAATATTAGGTTTTCGGCTGTCCCTCCCGCCAAGCCCCGCGATCCGCGTGACGGGCGCGCCGAAATGGGCGGAGTCTCAGGGGCCCCAGGGTTCCAGGGTCTGGGGTTTCCCGGAGTCCCAGGGGGCCCCTTTGGGCTCGGGGTGCATTGGTTGCCAGGGCCCTTCCTGGCCTTGAGGCCATCGCCTCCTCCGCCGCAGGGGATCCCGAAGTAGGGGGGTCCCCCAATTCGCATTCGTTCCCGTGGGGCGCCGTAACGCAGCGACACTGCGACATCGCGACGCCGCGACATCCATGCAAGGCGCTGCCCCCCCCCGCATTCGCCCCCCCGCGCGCCGCCGCGGCGCCGCGACGTCGCGACGCCATGGCGCGACGGCGCCCCGTCACCGCGACAACTGCGCAGGGCATCCACACTTGGCCCTTCGGGCGCATTGTCGACCGATGCCATGGAATGTCGGCCGTGCATATTGCGCACGAGCAACGAAACAAGGGGGCGACACTTGAAAATCGCGAAATGAAGCTAAACACATGCCATCGACAAATATAATTTTGGTTGTTTGCGCTCTGATAAGAAGACATGGGTTGACCAATATTTTTCATGTTGAAAATCGCAAAAGCGCCATCCATCAACTGTTCTGAAGTGCGTTTCGGCGCCGCATCGCAGCCACCGAATCTCGACAACGGCCCCGCCCATCAAAATCCATCAACCCGAGACCCCCACCGCAGGCCCGAATGCAACTACCAATGCTTGATCCCTTGAAGCCCTGGCCCCTCGCGGCAGCAAAGACCGCGCCCTCCGCCCCGCCGCAGTCTTCGCTTCGACGGCCTAATCGTCGAAAGGCAGGGGCCCCAGGCGCGGCGCCGCTAGGGCCGCCAGCGCAGCCCAGCGGGCGCCCGAGGGGGGTTGCCCGTCCAAGCTCGGGAGCCCGGGGCCTCGGCACAGCTGCCCTCCGCGGCCGAAGCCCTGGCCGGCGCGACCGGGGCAGGCGCCGCCGCCGTCGCTGTCGCTGTCTGGTCGGGGCCCCCCGCGTTTGCGCGTGAAGCGCTTGGCCGACAGAATGAAGCCGCGGTGCTCCTCGTCGGCCTCGCGACGGACCAGTGGCCGGGGTCGGTCGCCGCCAGCTCGCTCGTGAGCTGCTGATGTGAGGCGCGCGTCGCCTCGGTGGCCGTCCAGCCGTCCGCGGAGAGTTCTGCCGTCTTGGCCCAGCGCGCGGCTGCTCGCACGCCGATGGGCCTCGGCTGCTGGGCAGCGCCTCCTGCTGCGCCGCCGCTCGTACATGCCCGGGGCTCTCCGCCGGCCCCGCCATCTGCTTGGCCGCAACCGGCTGCGCCTGGGTCGCCCGGGTCGCCCCGGGCGCTGAAATGGGCCTCGGCGCCCGCGCGGTCGTTCTGGCATTTGCTGTGGCGCGCGCAGTGCGTGCAAACATGCATCCGCTCCTCGCGGTCTTGCACTGCGCTGGTGGCGCGGGCGCAGGGGGGCCGTCGTCGCCCGAGACGGCGCGCGGGCCGCCTCGCGCCTGCAGCGCCTGCCCCCATGGCGCTCCACCCCCCCTCGCCTGCACGCGCGGGCGCCCTTGCGGCGCCGGGCGCAGGGGGAAGGGGGGGCTGGGCGTCGCAGTGAACCGATTGCTCCCAGCCGCGCCGCGCGCGCGGCTCCCGAGGACGGGGGCCGTTGGCGACAGCGCCCCGCGACGACTGGGGCGCCCCGCCAGTTGCGCTGGATGGCGCGGGGTAGGTTGTAACGCACAACTGTTTCTAATGTGGTTCCAGCGTATGTTCTATCTTCGATAACCATGGTTATAACATAGGTTGTC